CCCAGAAAATATGTAACAGACCGAGTCAGAATGACATAAATTTGTGCCTTAGTGCTTAAAAATGTTTTCTTTAATTTGTTTTCAAATTAGATCAACTTATAACTTCTGATGAAATGTACTATTAGGACTCGGACAAAAACAACATTGCGGAAAGAGTAAGTCGCTTTAATTGAAAATAATCACAACGGGTTAATACTCCATATAGTTAAGCCCTAAAGTGTCCGGAAACAGCGCCACAAAATGTGATTCTAAAAGTACTTGAAAAGAGCACAAGGGAATTACCGTTAACCTTGACAGAATAATTGAGATAATGGCATATATGCCTCCTTTGAACTAGAGAGAAGAAACCCTTCTGCAAAATTTGCAGAAGATTAATGTCAGTGGATTAATATCAGTTCTAATACCAGTCATATGTGGGGTGGGACAACACAAGAAAACAATTAAGCTTCAAGGGCAGGCGGAGATGCTAATCAACAAAATCTCGGATTTTGTAGATTCAACTAAAAATAACAGCTAAATCAAAAAGTAAAGAGCATATTGCTACAAACTAAGATTCAGTCTCGGCAAAAAGATACACTCTATAGCTGCAAAAATGTTAACCTTCTATCTTCCATAAGGGTGATACCGGCTATTCCCAGCACCACCATATCCTCCTCTACTTCCGAAGGAGCCACCACTGCCACCTCCATAACCACCACCAAGCCCAGCATCATACCCACTGCCGTAGGCACTGCGACTGCCAGCACCACCACTATTGCCACCATATCCACCATAAAGCTCACCAGCACCTCCATAACTACCTCCCATTTCGTAACCTCTATTAAAGCTGCCCCCTCCATATCGACTGGAATATCCAAGGGACGGTTCACCTCTAAATGCTCCTACGCTTCCACCATATCCTCCATAACCACCAAAGTCACCTCCACCAAATCCTCCATAGGAGCCTGCTCTGCCCCCATAGGCACCACCTGATCTATAAATAGCACTGCCTCCACCAAAGCTCCCACTGCCATATCCACCAGCTCCAAATCCGCCACCACCAAATTCAGCATAAGTGTCCCCAAATTCACCACCAAATGAAGACCTAGAATCATTGTGTCGCTTAGATGGGGGAGGCGGGGGGTTTGGTTTCTTTGGCTCTGCCTTCTTGATCTCCACCTACGGAAAAAAATACAGACACAAAAATCAAGTATCATGCTCCCAAATTGTTTAAGGCTTTGATCAATAAACAAAGGTGGCTGCTCCACAAATTTTAATGTAAATCCCATAGCTGGAACATGTAAATTATCATTCTATAAAGTGGAACAAATGATTTCCCAGTTATTCCATTCTTCCCAAGTAGCTAAACTCATTCAGCCCCAATTAACAATGAATGCAAAAATACTAGAAAAAGAAGTAGAACAACAAGGGAAATTTTATAAGCCATTTCAATATTTACAGATAGGAAATTCCATCATCTCAAGAAAAGTGAATACTACTTAATAGATCATTACAATTCCACTGTCATTAAACACTGCCCTGACCAAAATGATAGTTTCTGCAGATAAAATCACATCAAGGAAAAATATAAAATTCCTTCATGTTGCCATTGCAGAAAAGAGTTAAAATCGTTTTGGAAAATACATGCTTATACGTTACCAGAAAAAATAACTTATAAATCATGAAACCACCAGCTCATTATCTTATCCGCTGTCTGATGCCATTGAAAAGATAAATACCATATTTAAGAAACAGGAATAGAATATCTAGATTTAATTTTAAGGAGCAAGTCATGACCTGTGTCCCAGTCATTTCAAGCCGGTTCCCCTTCTTTAATAGATCGTCAACTGCTTGTTCTGAGTCAAATGTAATAAACCCAAAGCCACGAGAACGACTGGTGGAATGATCCCGCATGATTTGATGTTCTTTCACTTCTCCGAATTGCATAAAGAAATCTTTGAACTCATCTGCTCATTTGTAATTCATGGTAAATATATGAATAAGTTTGATGATGAAATAAGAGGCAGGGTTTTTCAGTTAATATTACGATGAGCTTACAGCAAATGCCCCAAGAGAGGGAAAAAGCTAAAAGAACCATTACCTTCATTTAGTGTTGTGGGAATTCCACCCACAAATATCTTCTTAGTCTTGAAATCCTTGGAGCCACCCATTCCTTTAGGTATTGTTCGCTTGATTTCCACCTGAAAGTTCCCATAACCAAGCAGCCCAGAACTAACATGTCAACAAAAGAAAATTTTGAAGAAAGAACTACAATTCAACATAGTATTCAAATCAAGTTTAACCCTACTTGTTTCCCATTGATAATATGATTGTCCTGAATGACTTTATCAACCACAGTGGGATCGGCATAAGTCACAAACCCGAATCCACGAGGTTGCCCCGTTCTCCGGTCCTTCATTATCACAGAATCCGTAATTTCACCATATTTACCAAAATGCTTGACAAATTGCACTACGCAGATAAACCAGAATGAAACTAGAATTAAGAAGAAAAGAGAAACGCCTAATCTTATCCACAGTATCTAACTGGAAACAAACAAACAACTAACCTGAAGTAGTCTCCCTTGCTAGACCTCCGACAAAAATTTTTCTGCCAATTTCCAGTATTCGTTAAAATTCAAAGAAGAACTCAGACAAAGAAATCTAAATTTTAACAAATGGAAATAGAATCATGAAGTTTTTACCCGTACAAAGACTACTAGGAAAAACTGATGATAAGTAGCCTAAACAATAATAACCTGAAGCTAAGTTCATTTCTATTTTCCCTTTTTCCATCTTTTCTATGTTCAGTTATTCTTCGTCCAGTCCTCATAAGCAACGACAAAGATAAAATTCAAGGAGGAGACCAACAAAAAAAGGAAAAGAAGATATGGTAACATTTTATCGGGAAACAAACAAATGAAAAGAAAATTACCCCGGACTAGCTCCATCTCCAGTGTGCGCCTGGGGCTTATCCTCCTCCTCGGCATGGTCTGGGGATCTAATGTTGTTCGTTTCTCCATCAAGAACAGCTTCATTTTGGTGTGCGTCCATGGCCGAGAAAACAAACGACCGTTATAGCAGCAGGGAGAGGAGAAAGAAATGTATTGTACAGAGCTCGGAAGAAGAAGGAGAATTAAATTGAAGGAGCTAAGTGAGCCCTAGAACTTGTAACTTTCGAGTTTTCCAAGCCTTAAAACCCTTTCAAATGCCAAACGGTTTACGATTGGTTGACTTTCTTTATATCGAAATAAAACTCTAGTCTCGGAAGCACTTGAGTATAACCTGAAGTGAAATGATAGAGTACTCCGCGGTTGGTCGAGTCTTGATACGCATCGTATCATAGCCGTTTAATGTGAGGAATGCAACTGTCAAGGCGTCCGTTGATCTTTTTGGCCACGAGGTGCTGTTTGGTTTAATTTCTGTGTAGATACAAGTTAGTCTTTAAATTCGTGTTTGAAAATAAATTATTTTTCCAACCATAATAAAAAATTATGTCATATTATAGTAAATTAAAATAATATATTTAAACTTCATTAGTTAATTTTCAAAGTAAACTTAACACCATGATAATAGTAATTAAGATAATTTTACTACTTTATAATTAGTAATTCATAATTCTTGATTCAATGAATTTAAGTTTTAATTTATTATTATGTTGATAAAATTTTAATTACTAAGTTAAATTTTATTTTAACGAGTTATTATATCTCTAATAAAATAATACTTCATGAAAGTAATTTTTTATTTATTGAATAAATATAATGAACAAAATTTTTGACGATTTAAATATAATAATTTATTAGGTCAATAATTTTTTCTTTTACTGTTGCACAAGCTTAGGAAAAAACCGAGACTGAATTCATGTGTATACTTTTTGCTTTCTCAACTCTGTTAATTAAACTTGTAAGTTCTTATGTCCCAACTAAACTGCACCCACTTTCTAAAAGCTTTCAATAAAGCTTTTTGACCAAAAAAGAGAGAAGCAAACTAGCAGAGGAGATAAGAAGATTGATGCAGACAGATCAAAGAAGACAGATCGAGCTCAGAGTGCCAGTGATGATGATCATGTGATAAACATTGATGATGATGATGAAGATTGGCACCGCCAACAAAGAAAACAGAAGTACAGGACAATGCGAATGGCGCCAAATAAATTGCTATTTCTATTAACCAACATCAGATCTGAGGTAAGTTTGGTTTCTTCCATTCATGGCCTTACCGGGTTCAAGTTACCGGAATCCACCATGAATCTCGCCCATTTTCATCCGTAACCAAGAAAAATATCCTAGCTGGATGGCATACGATTTCACCATAAAAGTCAACTACTTTCTTCATATAGTGATGGCAACTGTCTAATATCCTAGCGATACAACATAAATTTTCAAAACAAGCTGCCTGGTTCTCAGCACTCAAATAAACATGCTTAGTCTAATACATGATACAGAAGTGAAGATCAAAACAGAATAAAACTGGTTAAATGAAATGTCCCTGAATCTAGAAAGTATTCTGTGGATTAATCCTCCTCCTACCTTCTCGTCTATAATATGGTGTTTCATCTACTGTTCTTCTAACATAATCTATAAAAGGTTGTGGAGTTCTCGGAGATTGTTCAGTGATAACAGAAGGATTGCTCCTATCAGGTGTTCCAGGGGCTGCAATGCTTGGAGCAGCTGGAGCATTTGATGACTGAGATCTATATGTTCTTCTATCCAGGAGTCCTATCAGGATGATCAACGTCAAGATTAGAACGGCAAAGCTTACAAGCATTTTCACCCAAAAGGTTATATTTGTGGTTGTTCCTAATGCTGCTCTTTCCCCAGGTTCATAGCTAAGATCAATTTCCTTTCTTTGACCTGTAAAACAGTTGAATAGCAGATGAATTTTTTTCCTCCAAGTCATTTTCCCTCTCTCAAATAAAACTTTATGTTTGCAGATAACAGGGCGCAGGAGAAGAAAGCTCACCATTGGCTGGTAGTGTGATAATAATCTTATCCCTGAATCTCTCATTTCTTAGCACCTTGACCTGATAATAAGGGCAGCAGAGACAGAATTACACCAAATGATTATCAATATCTAAGATTCTAAGAATAATACCTCATTCTGAGTTTTTAAGGCATCCAACATTATATTGTTTAAACAATATTATAAATGTTTGGTGAACTGGTGTATTCTTTAGGTAAATTTTGGTAAAATTAAAAGAACATAAAAACATGGAACTGAATAGATCTTACGGACAAGACAAGATATAGTAATGTGTTTCGTATATATATATATATATATATATATATATATATAGAGTACAGGATTGAAGAAATTTTTTCTATTAAATGTTTGATAACTTATAAACAGTACAAAACAGTATACGATTACTTCAAAATATCTTTTGTACTATTTCATATTTAATTTTTAACTTTGCATGCATATACCATTATTATCCATGTTTATTGAATATATTAAATTTAGTATCATTTGAAAAAATAATTTTATTTTATTTTTTACTATTAATTTTTTAAAAAATATTAAACTATTCATATTAGTAAATTAACCACACAAAAAACTTAATATTATTTTTCCTTTTATAATTATTCAAAAAATACTAGACTATATATATTAATAAACTAACTACATAAAAATAATAGTACATAAAATCTAACTATTATGTGTAATTACTGTATGTAGACAAATTTTTAAATTATAAATAAAAATGTTATGGATAACGTATATTCTATATGGAGGTCAAAGGGTAGCTTAGGATAAGCAAAATAAATGCATGGATAATTTGGTATTTTAAAATTTTATGTCATGTAACAAATTTTGGAACTAATTTACTCTATCCAAATGAGGGAACAAAATTAATCTCTGAAAAACTTTTTCATTTTCAGTTATCAAACTTAAGATCCAACCTTTTGTATCATTCAGTTCCATAGAATTAAAGTGTCAGCAATTAGACATATATGAACCCGTTCCACTTTTTCCAATAAGAATACCCTTTTTTTAATCTTCATGGCAAATGGAACTGCAAACTCAAGTTTATAACGTTAGTTATAAACATTAATATCTTACGCACTATATCATAATTTTTGGAAATCGTCACTATTTAATATTCACATCTAACAACAAAAAGACTAGTGCTTAGAATTGATATTGTGAAT